GTGCACACACATCTGTGTATAGGTCTGTGCATGCATGTGGAAGCCAGAGGACAACCTGGGGTGTTCTTCTTCAGACATCTTTTTTTTATTTAGGATGGAGTCTGTCACGGGCCTGGAGCTCACCAAGTAAGCTAGGCTAGTGAGCCAGTAAGCCCCAGGGAACTTCCTTGTCCCTCCTCCCCAGTGCTGGGATTACAAGCACACACCACCATGCCCAGGTGTTTTTACTTAGGTTTTGGGGACCAAATTCAAGTCTTTATGCTTGCACGGCATACACTTTGCCATCTGAGACATCTCTCCAGTCAAGAAAAAAGTCTTACAAGTGAGAAAAGAGGGAGGTTCCAGCATAAGCAAGCGAAATAAACATTTGTGGGGTTTGGTTTGGTTTGGTTTGTTATTGTTTGTTTGTTGCTTTTGGGGGGTTTTGTTTTCTTTTGTCTTTTGAGATTTTTTGTTTGTTTTGGGTTTGTTTGTTTGTTTGTTTGTTTTGGTTTTTTCAAGACAGGGTTTCTCTGTGTAGCTTTGCGCCTTTCCTGGAACTCACTCTGTAGACCAGGCTGGCCTCGAACTCACAGAGATCTTCCTGGCTCTGCCTCCTGGGTGCTGGGATTAATGGTGTGCACCACCACTGACCGGCCTTGTTTTCTTTTTCTAGACAGGATTTTCTGTGTAGTCCTAGCTGCCCTGGAACTCGCTCTGTAGACCAGGCTGGCCTTGAACTCAGAGATCGACCTGCCTCTGGGATTAAAGGCATATGCCACCACCATCAGACAACAAAATACACATTTTGATGGACTGAGAAGTGCTCACTCAGATTCCTTAGTTTTCCCCATTTTAGGGTCTTTTAGGGCCCCATCTAGGACATCACAGCACATTTAGTTGTCATATCTTCTCTTACTGTGACTTCCATGTTTTTAATGACTTTGGTGGTTCTATGAACTGGTTAGACACAGTATAGCCTGTGCCTCAGTTGGATCTGTCTGCTGCTCTTCTCATATCACACTGGGGCTCCAGGCTTGGAGGAGGAAGTCTCTAGAGGTATAAAGTGTCCTTCTCATGATGATATTTCCAGGGTACAAACTGTCAACAAGACTTGTCACTGTAGATGTTGACTTTGATCACCTGGCGGGGAAGTTTATCAGACATCTTTCCCATAAAGTGTTCCTTCCTCCACTTTACATCCTGGGTTCTGTGCTGGGAAGTCCCCGTACACCATTGGCACCTGAGGACAAAGATGAAGTCTCTTCAAGGGCGGGAAGTATCTGCGTAATTTATGCACTGCAGAAGTACCTTGACTCTCCTTCTCCACTCCCTAATTTACATGGAGAATATATGTAATTTTCTTTAGAGTGGTATAGTCTCCTGGACTTTAGGCTATGGTTTGGTTCCTGCATGCTTTTCTACCTCCCTCCTACTTGGGGCCTGACTACCAAGACTGCTCTGTCTAGGAGTATTGAAGGCATCTGCGGTTTACTAGCTGTATCATAACGTAGACTGAAGATGAACACTTTTTACATCACTGCCCTCCTTCTGCACAATGATAACAATAGACTTCAATGAAAGTTGTTTGAAAATTTATGCTGACCTTGGTCACCTGACTGAGGCATTGTGTCCAGTCTCCACCATCAAGTGTCTTTCTTGTTTGTTTCTGGGATTTTCCACTTAATGTTTTTTTTATTTTGTTTTGTTTTGGACCATAGTTGACCTCTGTTCACCAAAACCACAGATGAGCAGGGTGTAGAAGTCTATATGCGTCTTCCCGCCCTCATCCACACCATGTACTGTTATTTCATTGACTTGGTGAACTGCTAACGAAATGCTTTGGCCTCCTGACAGTGGGTGACAGTCACGGTCAACTGCATCTAACTCCTTGTCAGAGTTGGGCAGTTCTTGTATGTTTTCGGCCCCTTTGAACAATAGTGCTTGGCATTAGGTTCCTGGGATCGAGATACGGAGAACCGTTCTTCTGGGGTCACATGCTCGGCCAGACTAGGAAGTGCTTGGAGCAGCTTCGCTCACTTGGTTGAGGCCAGGCCAGACTCCTAAAGGTACCAAGGGCTCTACTTATACTATCTCTCTCTCTCTCTCTCTCTCTCTCTCTCTCTCTCTCTCTCTCTCTCTCTCTCTCTCTCTTTTTTTTTTTTTTTTTTTTTTTTTTTTTGGTTTTTCGAGACAGGGTTTCTCTGTGTAGTTTTGGTGCCTTTCCTGGAACTCACTCTGTAGTCCAGTCCTCGAACTCACAGAGATCCGCCTGGCTCTGCCTCCCAAGTGCTGGGATCAAAGGCGTGCGCCACCACTGCCCAGTGTGACAGGTATCTTTCACTTATCACAATTCTGACCTGTCTTTGAAGTCAGCTGTTTTCTCCTAACAACTGCATTTCTAATTTCTCTGAGTTCTGTCACTCATTTCCAATGTACCTGATTTTTTTTTTTTATGGTCTCTTGTTATTTCTCTGACTGTTTGTAAATTTTTGCCTATACTTCTGTTTTTTAAACTGGCTTCTACTGATTTGTCTACATGTTAGTTTGTTTTCTTGTGTATCTGGTGATCTTAGGCTGGGAATTGATAGTTAGTTCATGTTCCTTTAAAAGACATTTCAGTTTTAGCTCTATTTTTTTATTTTCATGTGTTTGGTTTTGTGTTTATTTTGAGACAGGGTCTCTCTGGATAGTCCTGACTCTCTTAGAATTCACTGTGTAGACCAGGCTAGCCTTGAATTCACAGTGATCTGCCTGCTTCTGCCTCCTGAGTGCTGGGATTAAAGGAGTGCACTACCATGCCTGGCCCAAGAAGTTTGAATTTTAAATCCTCACAAGAAACCACATGAGCATCTGCAGCAGTCAGAGGTTTTGACCCAGGATCCTTTATGATGGCTTAATCTGACTCAAGGTGGAGCCTAGATTGCGTCTCTAGCTGCTTACTACTCACATTTTTTTTCTTTTTGAGATAGGGTTCTTTTTTTCCTTTTCTTTTTGAGATAGGGTCTCTTTTGTTTGTTTGTTTTTTGTCTTTTGAGACAGGGTTTCTCTGTGTAGCTTTGCGCCTTTCCTGGATCTTGCTCTGTAGACCAGGCTTGCCTCGAACTCACAGAGATCCTCCTGACTCAGCCTCCGGAGTGCTGAGATTAAAGGCGTGCATCACTGCTGCCCAGCGAGATAGGGTTTTATATGGGCCAAGCTGGCCTCATACTCACTGTATAGCTGGGGATAACCTTGAACTTTGGATCCTACTACCTCTACCTCCCCAGTACTGGGAATACAGGTATAGGCCACCATGCCTGATTTTATGTCGTGCTGGGGATGGTACTCAGGCCTGCATGCATGCTGGGCAAGTGCTCTACCAACTAAGCCACATCCCCAACCATCACCATAGAACTTGTCCTTACCAGCCTTGCCTGTGTATGCTGACTTCCCTCAGCCGGTAGCATGGGTGTGTGCATGTGTGCGTGCGCGCGTGCGTGCGTGCGTGCGCGAGTGTTTGCTCCTCAGAGCTATCCTTGGCTCTCCGCACGTCTGGCTATATACAGCAGCTTGCCCCTCAGAGCATCCAGTCTACTATCCTGCTACCACTTCCTGGAATTCCCAGACTGTCTTCTTCTGCTCTGGCTCACTAACCTTAATGAGCCCTGAGCCTCCCAAGTAATCCTCGCCATTCTTCCATTTCCTGTGCTGATCTGCCCAGCTCATCCCATGTGCCTGCTGCTGCGAACCTGTCTAACAGAAAAGCCTTCTGGTGGCAACGGACTGTGAGCTCCATCAGCATGCACAAGCTGTGTCCCTGGGACTTTAAGCGACCTCCTTAACCATCACCATATTCACATATACATATTTAAAAAAAGGGGGGGGGACTGAGGCACTGAAAAGTTGGGGTAGCTCGTTGGCCTCCCACTCCTTGCAGCTGTGGGAACTGAGCGGTGAACCAGAAGCAGCCTGCCTCTTTTGCACTGTTCATGGCTGCAGAAAGAAACAGAAGGGGCTGGGACCACTGGGGACTTGGCAGAAGTCCTGCTGATCGGGGACTAGCTGCAGAAAGCCAGGAGCTCAAGAAAGCCGGGTCCTGGCCTCTCCGTTACCTTGTGTGGCACGGGCGAGGCTTGGCAGGAAGCCCAAAGCTCTCTGAGCTTTCTCGTGATTGGAAAAACAAAAGCCTAAAAGCTAACTCGAGGGTCAAAACTCTCTCGCCTGCCTTTCTGTGGACAGACCGCAAAATCAATGCCGTGGCTGCCTTGGGTGCGCGACATTAGTAGCTTGGCTGCATGTTCAGCTTGACTGGGAAACCCTGAGAATGGACTCCAGTCCCCACATTTGGCTGGATCCAACAGGGGTGTGAAATCGAAAGTCAAGTGTGAACAGGCAGCTGTGAATATCTAGAGCCTCTAAGTGACACCCACGTGAGGACTGCGGGCAGACAATTGGTCCAGGGAGGCCTCAAAGGTCAGGGACACCGGGCCTCCTTGTGGACAGTGGGCAGTCAGAGGGCGCGCCTTCTCCGAGTCAGTCACATCCTTCAAAGCAAGTGTGCCGTTGACAGTAATGCCCATGTATTAAGTGCTCACGCTGTGTCTCACGCCATGCTCACACAAAGCAGCCTTGCACACTCACCTGGGTCCTCAGGGAAGCCCGGCAACACAGGCTTCGTCATCCACTCTTCACGCACGCGCGCACGCACGCACGCACGCACACACAAGTGAGGACTCGAGCTGGTGAAGATGACTTTCCCCAGGCCCACCACCCAGAGGAGAGGACAAGGACCTAGTTCTAGGTGCAAAGAGCCTACACTGGGACTTGTGTACCCCACCTAGGAGTGTCCCTTAACCACAAATGGAAGAAGAATTTGGCCACGCAAGTCACAGCACGCAAGGGCCAGAGACAAGCCTTTCTTCCGGGTCACCAGCTCGTCCTCCCTCTGGAGGTGATGCTGGTTACTAGGAGTCCCATGCCCTGGGGTTTCTCAACAGCCACAGAAAGAAGGAGCCAGCTTGGCCCGGGGCAGGATTTACCTTTACGGCTTCCCAGCTGGAATTCACCAGGTGCTGTCTGAAGGGTCCAAAACCTGAAACCAAAGATACCCAGAGGTTTGTCCTAGCCAGCCCAGGCCACTTAGTGACACGTTCTGTAGGACCCAGAGAATGCCTGCAACCTTGCTAATCTGGGTGCGTCCTCAGGGTTCTCTGTATGAAGCCCAGTGGGGGAGTCCAAAAGAAAAGGGTGTGTGTAGGGGGGTGCTGGAGAGATGCCTCGGAGGTTAAGAACGTTTCCTGCTGCTCCAAGGTTGCAGTTGCCCTGAGAAACACTGCCCCAAACCAACTTGGGGACTAGAGGGTGGATTTGGTTTATAGGTTGCTCCCCATCATCAAGGGAAGTCAAGGAGGCAGGCATTCAAGGGAGGAACCGGGAGGCAGGGACCACAGATGGATGCTTTTTACCGGCTCGCTTATATAATCCAGGACCACATGCCCAGTGGCACTGCCTCCTTTATCAATTAGCCATCCAAAAAAAATGCCCCAGACATGTACACAGGTGAGTCTGATGGAGGCAATTCAGTTGAGGGTCCCTCTTTGAGGGGGATCAAGTGGATAGCAAAGCTAGACCACCATGCTGCTCTTCCAGAGGATTTGTTTGGTTCCCAGCATCCATGTGTGGAGCCTCACAGCTATCTGTAACTCCAGCTCCAGGAGATCTGTTGCCCTCTTCTGACCTCTACAGGCACCCAAACATACATGGCTCAGGCACGTGCATGTGCTTGAACACACACACACACACACACACACACACACACACACACACACACACTATGTAACAAATAAATAAACAAAAGAGGGGGCTATCCACTTCCATGGTAGAAAGGCTAGGAACAAGTGTACACAAATGTTGAACTGAAATCCAAGCTGTATTAGTTGCTTTTTCTCAGTTGTTTTCTTTTTGGTTTTTCGAGACAGGGTTTCTCTGTGTAGCTTTGCGCCTTTCCTGGAACTCATTCGATAGCCCGGGCTGGCCTTGAACTCACAGAGATCCACCTGGCTCTGCCTCCCGAGTGCTGGGATTAAAGGCATGCGCCACCACCACCCGGGTCAAAATTTTCATTTTTTGATGATTTAAAATTTGAATCGACTACTTTGAGGTAGAAGATAGGGCCTGGTTGGAGGAAGGAGTCACTGGGAGCATGTCCTTGAGGCTCTCTCTTGCCCTAACCCGTTCCTCTCACTGTTCCACGCTGCTTCCTGTCCACCATCAGAGAAACAGCCGTCTCCTCTGACTTTCCTCTGTCACCATGACGCTCTCCCTCACCACGGGCTCCGATACGATGGTGCTAGCCATGGTGGGCTGAAACTTCTGACCAGAGCTAAATATCTCCTCTGTCTACGGTTCCTGTCAGACACTCTGTGACAACAACATGATCAACAGGAAAACTAACTCTGTGGTGGTCAGCTTTGTCAACCAGTGAAGGATTGTCTACATGGGGCCGGCTTGTAGGCATGTCTGCTGGGGACTGTCTTGTTAACCGATATGGGGAGACCCAGTGTGCTGCGGGCAGCGCCATTCCCTAGGCTGTGGGCCCTGAACCATACAAGAATGGTGCAGTCAAGCCGGGCGAGCACACGAGAGCAAGCATGCATGCACTTCTCTCTGTTCTTAGCTGTAGATGTGCAGTGACTGGCTGTCTGAAGTTCCTGCTCGGACTTCCCCATGGTGATGGACTGTAACCTGGGGTTGTAAGTTGAAATAAACTCCTTTCTCCTCTAAGTAGTTGGTTTGGGGTTTTGTTTGTTTCTGTGGATTTGCTCAGGGAGGGGGGGCGTTGTTTGTTTGCTTGGTTGGTGGGTTGGGTTTTTTGGTCTGGATATTTGATCACATTGAAATGAATCTGGATGTTCACACGCCTAGTGTTAGGATGGGGCAAGGATGTAGAAGAAGCTGTAAAGGAGTAGCGTGAGGGGGTTTGTGGTTATACGGCTTGATTGTGGAGGCAATTCCAGGGAGCTATACACTGGTTGAAATGGTATAGGGCTGTTGGTGAGTGCATGCACATGTTCTCATCTCTCAAACCCTCTCTCCTTTCCCCTTCCCCACCCTCTCCCCGTCTCCACCTTCAGGATCAGGTGACTCTGGTGAAAGCCGTGAGGAGTTCTCTGTATATTTCTTTACAATTTCCTCTTGATCTATAATATTTCTAAAATGAAAAGTGTGTGACCTCCTGTCAGGGGAGGCTAGCCTGTCAGCGTGGCCTGTTACGAGGGAGGCCACTCATCTCAGGTTGGGCTGCAGGTAGGGGCAGCATTGTTTTATCTGGAGTATGACTGAGGGTTTGAGTTCCTCCCCTGATTCTCTCAGCAAGTTTCTCAGTTCCCACGAATTGGAGACTGTGAAAGGTCAGGATTCTACATCAAGTCCCTGGACCCCAGGTCCTCTAGAGAAGGTGGCGGTGCTGGAGAGGGGACCCAGCTGTGCCTGGCAACTGCTGAGTGTATGGGTCTTGACCCACCAACAGGATTGGTTCACAGGGAGAAAAACCTCAAGGGACAGAAAACTTTTCAACAGGCTGTCCCACCAGCCCAGGAACACCATCTGGCTTTGACTGATAGGACACAGTCTTGCAGCTGCTGGGGGAGCCTGCAGCCATAAAAATAAAAAAAAAAAAATTAAAAAAAAAAAGCATAGAAAATGTTGAGATTAAGTAAAAAATATCGAGAAGCCAGCTTCCTCCTAGAATAATAAAAATCCATCCACATACACATAATGTGCTTTAGAATCATACTCAGCCTTGCAAAAACTACACCTCTTATTTGTTTTAAATTAGGAAAAAATAACTCAGAGAGCAAGGTTAGCCAGTCCTGTTTTTGCTGGGCTAAGCCTCGCCACCAAGATTGCCTTGGAGTGGAGCGGGGAAATCAGCCAGGGAAATCTGGTGGAATCAGGGGACCCTGAAAGGTGTGGGCTGGCCTGGTCTCTCACTTTACTCTTGGTCCCAGCCAATACCTCATCTTCAGGCTGTTTGTGGGGGTCCTTGCATTTCTCCCATCTGTCTACATGCCAATCGTCAAGACAAGATTTACACTCAGCACGTCCAATTAAATGAAGAGCCTGCCCCCTGGCCCCTCAAAACATGGCTAGTAAAGGCAGGCCACACTCTGGAGTCCAGTGGGCACTTCCCAGTGGGCCCTGACTGCCAGCTACTTGCAGGCAAACTGCAGGCTGATGAGAGCATTGTAGGGTAAGCTGTGAGTCCAAGAGGGGGCAGTACATTTCCGTGCCCATGTTTCATTTGAGACAGGCACCGCTTTTACAGAGCCTAGGGGTGGTTTCCTGAAGAAGCCAAGTGTAATTTGAACCCTTCAGTCTCTGAACCCAGAGGGAAAAGATAAAAGTACAAGGGGAGAGAAGTGTTTCAAAAGAATTTTCTTTTTCCTTTTTTTTCTCCTCTTTTGGTTAATAGTATGAATCACTGTCCGACGAAATAGCTTTTAATTAAGACAGGTGACAGGAATCCTTTGTGTCCCCTTTATCAAATACAAGTTGAAAAATTTGAAATGTGCCAAATGTGTCTGACTAAAAATAAATAAGTCGCTTTGGTGTCTAACTAAAAATAAGAGTGTTGTGAGCAAAGAGCCGGTCCTTAGGGACCAGCTGTTGACAATGGCAAGGTGCATGTGGCTGACTTCAGAGACGCCGCTCAGACAGAGGGTAGAGCAGCCACCATTACTTCCAGGATGACCTTTTGGGGTTCAGAGGCATCAACCAGTGTGTGTGTGTGTGTGTGTGTGTGTGTGTAAAGGGGTTCAGAGGTATCAACCAGTGTGTGTGTGTGTTGGTTAGTATTCCCATAGCAGCAAGAGCACCGTGGGGGGTGGGGACTGCAGACTCCATCGAGGCGTAGTCATTGTAGAAGGACAGTGTGAGTCTGGTGTGGGTCTGTCCTGTCCTAGCCTGCAATTCTACCCTTTCCACTGGGTCCTAAGCTTAGGGACAGCAGGTGACAGCCGGAGCTCCTCCCCAAGGGGCTGAAGGACAAACACGGTCTGAGTGAACCTAAGCCACAAGTGGGCACCTCCGTGCATGCCACTCGAGTTATTTGTGGCGAAGGGGCTCAGAGGCAGGAAAGCCTGTGTTTTTTAATAGGGCAGAGCAGGAAGTCAGCTTCCATCAGGAATTCCTACCACCACCAACCAGTTGCCACTCATGTTCCCCTGGGATAGCTGTTTACAAGCAGTGTCGAGCAAGTGCGCATTCCAGGCTCCAGCAGAAAGCAGCAGCCACCCGGAACGCAGGGAAATGCGGGCAGCAGCCACCCGGAACGCAGGGAAATGCGGGCTTACCGGTCACCACCAGGCAGCGGGACTGCGAATCCATGAGGCCCGGCTGAGCTAGGCTGGTGGGGGCTGGGCCAGCCGCGATCCGGGAGGGGAAAGGCGAGGATCACGTGGGGAGTGTGGCAAGGCCACGCCCTCGGGGGGAGCAGAACTGGTGGCCTCTGGACTCTGGAGCCTAGAGGGTCACAGCGCCGCCAAACTTACCTGGACTCGGCTTAGTTGGTTCCGTAGGATGCATGGCATCAAAGTGCTTGACCCTGTCCCACGACTCAAATAGCTCAAACTAGGACCCGGGCCACTGTTTGCTCCTACCTTCATCCACCCCTTTCCCCCACAACCTCCCACCCCCACCCCCCGCCCCCGGAGAAACCCCTGCTGCCCACCGTAGTCCCAGGTGTTTGGAAAGTGTTAACTTGGTTCGTGATTAATCTTAAATTCGGCAAAACATTTAAACAAGCAACCAAACACTCAGAAAACACTCACTAGAAGCTGACTGTAGGCGTTGGTGGCAAGCACCTGCTGCCTAGACCTCGCAGGCCCACTGTCAAATTAATCTCAGCGCCTGAGTTTTCTTGTTCTGCGGCGTGGGGCTCACCCCCGCCCGCATATGTGGAGCATCCTGCCTCCCACGCATGTCCCCAGCTGCATCAGCCCGGAGCGACAGGGGCTCACCAGCTGGTTGATGTCTGCTGGCTTCGCCGCGACTGTTTCATCCTGTCTGTGAAGTGCTTCCCACTGCGCTCCCTGGCAAAAGTGCCACCCCATGTCATCCACAGTCTGGGCATCTTTCTGCGTTCTCGAGGCACCTCGGCGCTTTTCAATGTTGTCAACGATACAATAACAAGAAACCTAACGTCTGGGCCAGCTCTATTGATGTCTTATGCAGCAGGTTGGCCTTTTAAAGATACTACTAACGTTTTTTTAAACTGAAGACACTCTTTTTTCAAAGGATGTGTAATAGAGAAACAACGCACATACTTCCTTTCCCCATCTGAGCCTGTAGAGCGCAAGGAACACGCCCTGCAGTTTCAGAGAAGTTCCCTGTGCCCTGGGGGACCTAGTGAGACCCAGCAGTTGTAACTACTTAATTGGTTCTCTCCCCCCCCCTTCCCCTCCCCCTCCCCCTTCCTCCCTTCCTCCCCCTTTCTCCTCCTCCTCCTTTCTTCTCCTTCTCCTCCTCCCCCCACCCCTCCCTCCGTTTTTAAAGTATATCCTGTTAATTGGGATCCCTGCTCAGGACTCAGCCTCATGTGAGTCCTTCCTTTTAATTGGCCCCTGGAGGTGGGGCCTTGGCTTCCTGTTACCTGGGAACAGGACGGAAGGCCAGTTTTCTACCACTTTCCCGGGAGGCTGAGGCCAACCAGGCTCTAGAGGACCTCAGAGAGCTTTGTACTGGGCCTGGCCGAGGTGGGGTTGGGGTGGGGGGTGGGGGTCCTAGTTTCTCACACTCCTGTTGGCTTTTGTAGACGTTTGTCCAACTCCCTCTACTGAGCTGTCCCTACCTAGTGAGTGGCCTTTACATATTTCTGTTAGGAGGGATGTGTTTCCCTGTCACAGTTAAAGCAGCTGACAAAATGTCCGTGGTTGCTGGTAGTGCTGAGGTCACACACCACCAAGTCACTGGACTGGGTGGCACACACCTTTATTCCAAGTACCAGAGAGGCAGAGGCAGGCGGATCTTTGAGTCTGAGGTCACCCCGGTCTACAGAGTAAGTTCCAGAACAGCCAGCACTACACAGATAAACCCTGTCTCCAAAAACAAACAAACAAAAACATGTGACCGAGTCTGTGACCCTGTTTACTAACGCTTATTATGCTTTGAGAAAGCATTTCCCTTCACTGCAATTACTAGTTATGAACAATACTACTCTCTTGATAATGAAGCTGTCATCTCTATTATTACTATTTAGAAAGGGTTGCACAAGCTAACCCAGAACGCTTAGACTTAGGTGATACTTGTACCCCACCTCTCAAAACAGTAGGGATTATGGATCCATGCTACCATGCTGGGATGGCATTCTTAGTTTTCGTTTGTTTGCTTTTGTTTTTGGATTTGACACAAGTCATTTTTATTTTACCTTAAACTGGAATGCATCAAGGAATTTTCACTTTCCCCATAATTCAATTCTTCTTCTCTTGCCCTAATGTTTTCTCTAACTTTGTAATGAAGTTATTAAAAATCCCTAACTGGCCGGGTGGTGGTGGCGCACGCCTTTAATCCTAGCACTCGGGAGGCAGAGCCAGGCGGATCTCTGTGAGTTCAAGGCCAGCCTGGTCTACAGAGCGAGATCCAGGACAGGCACCAAAACTACAGAGAAACCCTGTCTTGAAAAACCAAAACAAAAAAAAAAACCCAAAAAACAAAAAAAGGCCCTAGCTGATATTTTAGTTAGTCACAATGATGTGTCCACTACTGTATTCATCCTGGCTTGCAAACAACAGCAAACCCATGTCTTTCTCTGAGATGAGAAGAGCTCGGAGAGGCCTGGGTTTTCAGGTCTGGCCTCCGCTCTGTCCTTTCTTCTTCCGCTGTAAAAACAAATGGTCTCTCACAATTGCCCCGATCTGCAACACCGTCTTTAGGCTGATGAAATACAGTAAGCCTGAGAACTGCGGAAGGCAAAGGGGGAGATGTCTGAGTTCACAGAAAGCGTGAAAACCTTAGAAGATATTCCCCAGAGGGAAATATTTGCAATTATATTTGACTCCAGGGCAAGGTGCAACCTTCTTACTGAACCGGAAAGCAAGCCATGTGTTCTCACTGGGGACAGCCAAGATGATACTCTCCCCAGACTACAAATACTTCACATTTTAAACCAAACAAGAAACTTTGTGGGATTTGTTTTAAATTCCTTACTGTTGAGTGGTGACTTCCTGCTTAAACAAGAGAAAGGATTAAAAGGGCTGTGTGTTGTCTTTGAGCCAAACGGCTCTTAGGATAGGACACTGATAATCATATAGTTGACATCAATGAAATTTCATCAAACTGATCAAATTCCTGCAGGGGATGGGGAGAGAAATCAATCATCAAGAAAGCAGCGATCGTTTCAAAAAGAATGTTAACATAGCCCTCCCCTATGTCAGACATCTCTGCTCCCAGACCGACTACTTATCTCTACTGTCAGTCACACGGCCCATAGCCAAATTGCTTCTTGTCAAAGCACTAACTGATTCTCCAAAAAACGTCACTTCATATTTGAGAGTCATTGCTCTTACTCCCTTGTACCCCAAGCGGGGGCAGTGCCAAAGTCCCTGTAAAGGGCTGGGTAAGAAGTACTTCTGGCTTTGTGCAGCACAAGGCCTCCGGTGCAGTTCTCCAGCTGTTTCTGCCGCGGTGGGCATGTACATAGATGCTATGTAAACCAGCCCTGGCCCTGCTCCAGTGATTATTTATGGATGCTGGATTTAAAATTTCCTATAATATTGACATGTTGTAAAATGGTTTTCTTTTGATATATATATATATTTTTAATTCGGAGCTGAGGACCGAACCCAGGGCCTTGAGCTTGCTAGGCAAGCACTCTACTGCTGACCTAAACCCCCAACCCCTCTTTTGATATTTTTTAACTATTGATAAGTGTAGAAACTATTTTTTGGGTCTTAGGCTGTACGAAAATAGAAGGGGGACTGGATGGGGGGCTGTGGGTCGTGTTATGTGAAATCCATTAGAACTCGTTATTTTTCTTACAGGAAACTTAAGTATACATTCCTGGGACAAATTTTCAGTAAACTGAATAAATAGATTATGCTCGAACCTCTTTGTAAACAATTTTGCTTCCATACATTCAGTTACCCGTTGTTGCTTGTGGCCTGGAAATATCAAATGAAAAACTCTTGTTGTAAATAGTGCATAAGTCCAAATTGCACATTGTTTTGACGTAGTGGGACAGAGCCTTGCCCTGTTAAGCTCTGTCCTGTCTGGATGGGGACCATCCCCATGCCCAGTGTACCAACTCTGTGTATACTGCCTTCCCCTTCATCACTCAGAAGCTCTCTTGGTGATCAGAGGGACTGTGCAAACATCCTAATTCTTGTATTCATGTTCTTACTTCACTTAATAATGTCCCTAAGAAACGGTATTGGCTGGTCTATTACAGCATATTTTTATAACTGTTCAATTTAATAATTAATTGGTTACTAATTAATTATCGATTAGTTATTGTTGAAATCTTTCACTGTGTCTAATTTATAACTTAAGTGTTAGCATAGGTTTGTATGTATAAGGAAAACACACAGTGAAGGCAGAAGGGGGCCTTATCTTTTGCTTCAGACTTCTGCTCCTCACAGGTAAGTGGCAACTCGGTGACGTAGGGAGCAAGAGAAGTCTGGAGAGAATGTATGCTGGTGACATGGGCACAGCCATGTCCAGGACCCCAGTGCCTTCACCCATGGGCGAGGTTGATGGCAAAGCCTTCCTGTGCGGAAGCTCAGCGGGAGGGGAAATGCTTCCTTTGATCCTTTTGTGGATGTTGATAGTGTGATAGAAAATGTCCACCATATATTCCCCCCCAACCCACCAGATGAGTCTGAGGACTGCTCCCCTACAAAGACTGGGCCTACCCAGATCAGCCTAACCTGTCTCCCTGTTCAGCTGGACACATACCTCCTGCCTCCCTGTTCAGAGTGCACATACCTCCCACCTCCCTGTTCAGAGTGCACATACCTCCCACCTCCCTGTTCAGAGTGCACATACCTCCCACCTCCCTGTTCAGAGTGCACATACACCCCACCTCTCTGTTCAGCTGTATGCATTAGTCAGCCTTCCCTGTACATTGTATATAATAAATGAGCTGAGCTTCTGGCGTGCCCCACTTTTTCATCTGAATCCAGCTTTTCTGTGTGTCCTTGTGTCTTTTCTTCATTCTCTCGCTGCCCTAGTCAGGGTTCAAGGACCCAAAGATGAAGTGACTTTGGGGATTGGGGAGATAGCTCAGTCAGTAAAATGTTTATCTTAGAAGTGTGAGAACCCAGGTTCAATTCCCAGCAAGCACATACAAATCCCAAGCATGGTGATCCATGCCTGTCATTCCAGCACTGGGAGAGGTGAAGACAGGAGGATCCCTGGGGCTAAAAAGTCAAAAGCCAGCTAGGGGTAGTGGTGCACGCCTTTAATCCCAGCACTCAGGAGGCAGAGCCAGGCGGATCTCTGTGAGTTCGAGGCCAGCCTGGGCTACCAAGTGAGTTCCAGGAAAAGGCGCAAAGCTACACAGAGAAACCCTGTCTCGAAAAGAAAAAAAAAAAATTAAAATTAAAAAGTCAAAAGTCAAAACAAAAAAGGTCTCAGAGGAAGTGGGTGGGCTTTTTGAAGATGATACCCACCAGGTAGTCCTCTGGCCTCTACGTATATGCACACACTTGCATCACCCCTGCATACATGTGTGTACCTGCATGCATACACACACACACACACACACACACACACACACACACACACACACACACACACACACACATCACATAAGGATTATGTGATACAGAGTATTTTTTATCAAAACCCCACTGCTTTCCGTGTTCTGTTGGGTACATGCAGGAAAGCCTACCAAATAAATACAGCAAACACTGTTGCTACTTCCATCATAGTAATGATGGTTTCCACCAGGTGTTAACTGAATCAATTATCCATTTCTTTCCCATGTTTGCTGAGAAGCAAAGACTGCAAGCCCCTCCCCAGCCTTGGCCCGCAGCTGCCGGCTGATGTACAGCACAAGGTGGGCTCTGGCTTCAGCACCCATCTCGGGAAGGCCCCGAAATTCTGC